AAAGTTTTTAATTATAATAAATCTTATTATAATTAATTTAATAATAAAAATTAATAAAAATAAAATTTTTTAGTTTATAGATTTTATTATATAAAACAATTGCTAGAAAATCAGATTTTTTAAGATTTTTTAATAAAAATTAAAGTATATTTAATTGATATTAAAATAAGCCTTAAAATTTCAATTTTATATAAAATTTCTCAGTTTCTAATTTTTCTAACAATTATTTTATGTAATTAAAATTATAGTATTAATATACAGTATATATATAATAAAAAAGGAAATTTATAATATTATAACTTAGTTTAAATATACTTTTTCTTAATATTAATATTTATTTTAAATAATCATTAAAAATAATAATTTATTAATTTTTACAAATAGTTATTAAATTTATAAATATATTATAAGAATACTTTAAATATTAATAAAATTTATTATTTTAAAAAATATTTAATTATCTTTAATGCATATTACAAATTAATATAACTTCCTTACAATATACTGTAAGTTTTTGGATGTATTTTTTTTATAATAAAAAATTCTTTTAGTATATAAATTGTATTAAATTTATATTACAAAATTAATGAAATATATATAAAAAGAGTAATGTTATATTATCAACCAAATTTAATTTTGAATAATATCACATATAGAACCAATGAGTTTATATATTATTTATTTATTTTTTAAGAAATTAATATGTAGTAGAAATAAATATATCAATTCAATAAATCAGAAATTATATAAATATAGATTGATTTAGTATTATATAGAATTTATTAACTCGGCACTATTAAAATAAGTCAAGTTGATTAAAAAACTAAGATAAATAAGTGTCAAAGTATTTATTTTTATTTTTTTGTAATAACGATACTTTAAATAAGAAAATGGTTGAATTAAAAAACGTGCTTTATTAGTAGAAGTGAAAAAGAGGATCAGAAAAAGAAATAAAAATGACAAATAAATTTAGTAAAAGAAAGTATTTTTAATTATGACGGAATAAGTTATTTAATTATCATTCTACGAAGTATTCTTAAAAAATTACATTTAATTTATGTCATATGTATTTTTATTTATTTATTATAAACAATTTCGATGACAGAACTTATAAATAAACTTTTTTTAAGTTCTATTTTCACGGCCAGTGTATTAAGTTTATAATATTATATCGTTCAGAGTGTTATTTTATGAATTGATGTCGAGGTGCATTATAAATTTCATTGATCTTCGAAGAGGGTCGGAAGATACATATTTATATTTTCAACGGGAGGAACTCCCCCAGTTCCATAGTTAATATAATCCGAGTCTGCGCCATAAGTTGAAACATTTTCTTGATTATTTTCAAACACGAAATCGGTAAAGATATGCTCGATTCCATACTCTCGATCGAAAAAGTTACAAGTGGAATAATCTTCAGGAAGATACGAATTCGGCGTAAAGATTATATCCTCAATGGGAACCTCAATGTCTTGGGCATAATTAACATAATTTGAATCAACTTGCAGAGGTGTAAACGGCACGCTTTCACATTCCAACATTCTATTATACTCTTGATCTTTAATATGAACTTCATTCATTTTATACAGGTCTCCGAAAAAGTTGCTATTGGAAAAACTAGCTTGGGAATTATTCATATAATTGTTGTCAAGAAAAGAATTCATAACGTTGACAGAATAATCTTTAATCGGAAGATACCCAATTGTTGAATTTTGCGTATAGATTATATTTTCAACGGGATCCTCATTGCCTTGGATATAATTGACATAATTCGAGTCAACTTTATTCGTTACACTTGTAACACGTGATGAAACATCAACTACATTCATACTTTTATCAAATACAATTTGAATCGGATTCTCCATCTTATACAGAGATTTAGCTTCTTCAGATAGTTTTCTGTAAAATGCCTTTACGTTTTCTGGTTCTTCGTCCCAATAACATGATGCAATTTTAGAAAGTTGGCGCATAGGCGGTAATTTGATGTTTCTATTACGATTCTCTTTAATTAATGCCTTTTTATACGTGATGAAAGCATTTGGAAATGTTTTTGCTTTTTTATTATTGTTGGGTGCTTT